AGAGAAGGAGTGCCTGGCTGGCTCAGTGGAAAGAGCATGCGACTCTTGATCTTGGAGTCATGAGTTCAAGCCCCATGTTGGGTGTAGAGATTAAATAAATAAACAAATAAACGTTTAAAAATAAATAAAAATCAGAAGGTTTCCTTTAAACATCAGATTCCCAGCTTTTCATGAAAATTGGAAAGATTTGGTGACCCTTCCCCCCACCCACCCCGTCCACATTCTCGCATGGCAAAAAATCAGCTGCACCGGCTTAAATAAGTAAAGTGTATCAATGTCAAATCTAATTTTGATGACTGCGCTATGATTATATTAGAGAATGTTCTTGTCTTTTAAGGCATATACACTGAAATGTTCAGGATAAAAACACCATGTCTGCAGCTTACTCTGGAATGGCCCCAGGGGAAAAATAGAGGGGGAGGAGGGGAAGGGGAAGAGAAGGGAGAGAGCGAGACAGGAATTAGGAAGCAAATGTGGCAAAATGTAAACAGTCAGTGAATCTGGAATAGGAGGGTCCCCTTGCACTGTTGCAAGTTTCATGTAATTGGAAGCCATGTTAAAATTGAAAGGTACAGGGGCGCCTGGCTGGCTCCATCCATGGAGCATGCAACTCTGACCTCTGGGTTGTGAGTTCGAGCCCCAGGCCGGGTGTAGAGATTACTTAAAAATAAAAATTTTTTTTTTTTTTTCTTTTCAACGTTTTTTTTTTTTTTTTATTTATTTTTGGGACAGAGAGAGACAGAGCATGAACGGGGGAGGGGCAGAGAGAGAGGGAGACACAGAATCGGAAACAGGCTCCAGGCTCCGAGCCATCAGCCCAGAGCCCGACGCGGGGCTCGAACTCACGGACCGTGAGATCGTGACCTGGCTGAAGTCGGACGCTTAACCGACTGCGCCACCCAGGCGCCCCAAAAATAAAAATTTTTAAATCTAAATAAATAAATTGAATGGAAAAGTACAAAAAGAAGCTGAAGCCAGTTTGCTTTAGACAGGGGTGGGATCCGTTTACCAGAGTCTCCACTTCTCCCTGCCCTCTTAACTTTGGCCTACCTTGCTCATCTACGGACCTGCTTGACCTCAGAGGACAAGTGGAAGGCTTAGGCGTGTGAGCGCTGAGGTCATGCAGCTCTGGGTTCAAGTCCTCCTCACCCCCTCGTTGGCGATGTAACCCTGGGCGTGTGACTTTCTCTGGGTCTATTTCCTCATCTGGAAACACGGATAGTAACACACTTCCCCCGCACTTGGCGTGGCATCTGGGACCTGCTGTTAGCTTATGCCGCGGTTTGTTTTATTGAGGACTCCCCCACCTATCAGGGAGGGGACCAGCCAGGTTCACACATGATGCTGATGCAGATCAGGAAATGAGCTGTGCCCTCTGAGGCGAGGCTTGGGAGCTGGCCAGGGAAGCTTCCACCAGCACAGGGGATCCTGGTGGCTCCTGAGCTGGAGAAGGAGCGCAGCCCAGGGGGGCTCCAGAGAGGAGGTCCCACCAGCCACACTGACCAGGGCCTGCCCACAGGGAACGTGGTGAATGGCATGATTGCCCGGCAGATGGTGGACATGCTTGTGGAATCCTCATCCAACGTGGAGATGATCCTCAAGTTCTTCGACATGTTCCTGAAACTCAAGGACATCGTGGGCTCTGAGGCCTTCCAGGACTACGTCACCGATCCCCGTGGCCTCATCTCCAAGAAGGACTTCCAGAAGGTGGGTGCTGGAAGGCAGGTGGGTGGGGGCACCAAGTGGCAGCCATGCCCCGCCTGGCTGCCTGCCTCGGGCAAGAGACTTCTCTGTGAGCCTCAGTTTCTTTAGCTGTCAAGCGGGGATAACACCGTCTTTCGGGTTGTTTTGAAGATGAAATGCATTAACGCAAATGAGAACCTTTATTTCTGTTATCATTAACAGTCATCATATCATAATCATTATAGGTAACAGTTATTCAGTTGAGAAACGCTTGCTGCATTTCTCCTGCATGCCGGGCCCTCTTCCGGGGCCGAGGCAGACACAGCCCTGCCTTCACGGGGCTTGTAGTCTAATGGGGGAGGCGGTCGCCAATGACCATTACAGGTCAGATAATGAGGCTCTTAGGAGGGAAGTGCAGGAACCAGCTTCATCCAGGAGCCCACTCACCTGCCCTGTCAGTCCTCCCAACCCAGCGCTGCCTTCTCTCCCTACGGAACCCCAGGTAAGTTACTCGTCTGCCGTGAGCCTCAGTTTCCCCCTCTGTGAAATGGGACTAGGATAACAACACATCTCACAGGACTGCTGTGAGGCGGACGGTGTGTGGACAGCGCCTGGAACACGGGAGCCCCGAAGACGTGTTACCTACCGTTACTCCTGCCCGATCTCTTCCCTCACCATCGTGTTAATCTCTCTCTCTCTCTCTCTCTTTCTCTCTCTCTCAAAATAGATAAGTAAACATTAAAACAAGGAAATTAGCATCGATATGATGCTGCTATCTACACACCTTAGTTCAGTTTTCACTCGGTGAAGAAATTATTCTCCCTGCGAAGGACCCGATCCGGGACTGCATTTAGACATCCTGTCTCTTTAACCTCCTTCAATCCAGAACCCTTCCTTGATGTGTCTCTGTCTTTCATGACCTTGAGATTTTTGAAGAACAGAGACCAGTGTTTTAGAGAATGCTTTATAATGTGGGTTTGTCTGGGTTTTCCCCGTGACTCGATTCAGGTTATACATCTTTGGCAGGAATATCATAGAAGTCATGTGTCCTCCGTGCATCATATCGGGAGGCGTGTGACGTTGGTTCTTCCTATCGCTGTTGGCTGTAGCTTGGCTCGCTTGGTCCAGGTGGTGTTCACCTGCAAATGTACCGTCCTTCCCTTTGGTATCTGCTGAGGATGCGCCTCGGGACAATGCAAATATCCTGCTCACCCTCCTGGGTCAGCATCCATTGGTGATTCTGCCTCAAGCTGATGGATGCTGGGTTTCTTTTTCTGTCTTTCTTTTTTTTTTTTAATGTTTATTTATTTTTGAGAGAGAGAGAGAGAAACGAGGAAGGAGCAGAAGAGAGAGAACACAGTCAAGCAGGCTCCAGGATCTGAGCTATCGGCACAGAGCCTGATGCAGGGCTCGAACCCAGGAGCCACGAGATCGTGACCTGAGCTGAAGTCGGACACTTAACCGACTGCGCCACCCAGGCGCCCCTTCCTTTATTAGGTACCATTTTTCTGTCCTTGTTCATTTATTTCTTTTTTTAAGTGTATTTATTTTGAAAGAGAGAGAGAAACGGGGGGGGGGCAGAGAGAGAGGGAGAGAAAGAATCTCAAGCAAGTTCCGCATTGTCAGCGTGGAGCCTGATGAGGGGCTCGATCTCACAAATCATGAGATCATGACCCGAGCTGCAACCAAGAGTCGGACGTTTAACAAACTAAGGTCCTGGAGCTTACCCCATTTATTTATTTATTTATTTATTTATTTATTTTAATGTTTTAAAAATGTTTTTATTTATTTATTTTTTTAATTTTTTTTTTAATTTTTTTTTCAACGTTTATTTATTTTTGGGACAGAGGGGAGCAAACATGAACAGGGGAGGGGCAGAGAGAGAGAACACAGAATAGAAACAGGCTCCAGGCTCTGACCATCAACCAAACAAACTGACGCGGGGCTTTCGAACTCTGGACTTCTTGAATCGTGACCTGGCAGTCTGCTTCCGACCTAAACCACCAAGTAGCTAAATGTTTTTGTTATTTTTGAACAGAGAGAGAGACTGAGCATGAGCAGGGGAGGGGCAGAGAGAGGGGAAACACAGAATCTGAAGCGGGCTCCAGGCTCCTGAGCTGCTCGCTTTGAGAGCCAGCAGCGGGGCTTGAACTCCCGCAGGAGTGTGAGAGGTCCATGACCCTGAGCTGAAGTCGGACACTCAACCGACTGAGCCACCCAGGCGCCCCTTTATTTTTTATATCAGTGTAGACTCCTGCTTCTTATTTTAATCCAGAGGTTGCAACAGTTGCTGCCCATGCAACAAGCATTTAAATAAGTCCAGGGTCTCCCAAGTTACAAATAAAGTGTCCCCGTCCCCCAGTGCCCTCGGAGAGCCTCCCGTGTCTCTCCTCCTCCTCAGCCAGGCCTTCCAAGAGCCGTCTACCTTCGCTCCCTCCTTCGTCACCTCCCACCCCTTCCCCAACTCAGGGCTTGCCAGCTGCGGTCCCCGTCACTCTGCGGAAACTACCCTGACCGAGACGGCCAGTGACCTCTTCACCCCCTGTCATCTTCGGGCATCTGCCATGGTTGGCCATTTCCTTCCCTCGGCGATGCCCGCTTCCTCGGGCATCTGTTCCGCACACTCGTGGGACCCCCGCCCTCCCTGCCAACCTCTTGCGGCCTCTTAATCGTTGCCATTCCTGAGCCCTCCACCTTCCAGAAGAGGAGCCGATAGTTATCACGTTCTCACTCTAGGCCGGGTCATGTGCACCAGTGAGTTAGTTCATGCGGTCCTTACAGCGACCCTAAGTGATAAGGACTGTTTAGTTTGGTCTTGTTTTATCCTCATTTACAGAAGTGGAAACTGAGGCACAGGGAGCTGAAGTGAGTGCTCTCAGGGTCACACAGCTCACGATGGACAAAAAGTGGGGTTAGGACTCGGGCAGTCTGTCTCCAGAGCACAGATTCATCCCTTAAGCTAGTCCAACAAATAGTGAACGTGACCTGGGTTCCAGCTCGTGGCTGCAAGTCCCAGCCCTACTCTCAGGACGCAGGTCCAGGGAGAGAGTCCCAGTCAGTGAGAGAACCAAGAAGCACATGCAGGAGCCAAATACACATCATTCGTAATCGTGTAATGATTCTTCTCAGAAAAGGAAACCATCAACAAAACGAAAGGGCAATTTATGGAAAGAGAGAAAATATTTGTAAACACATATATGATGAGGGGTTAATATCCAGAACAGGCGAGGAACTTACACAACTCAATAGCAAACAGAACAAAACAAAGAAACTGATTTTAATGTTTTTATTTTTCGTTTTGAGAAAGAGCGAGCATGAGCGGTGGAGGGGGAGGGAGGGGGCAGAGGATCTGAGGTGGGATCTGTACTGACAGCAGTGAGCCCAAGGGAGGGGCTCGAGCTCATGAACCATGAGATCCCGACCTGAGCTGAAGTCACCAATTTTAACCTAATTTTAAAATGGGCAAAAGACCTGAAGAGACATTTTTCAGAAGACATACAGGGGCACCTGGGTGGCTCAGTCGTTTGAGCCTCTGACTCTTGATTTTGGCTCAGGTCACGATCCCGGGGTCGTGGGATCAAGCCCTACATTGGGCTCTGCACTGAGCGCGTAGAGCCTGCTTCAGATTCTCTCTCTCTCTCTCTCTCTCTCTCTCTCTCTCTCCCTCTCTCTCTCTCTGCCCCTCTCTCCCACTCTCACTCTCTAAAATAAATTTTTTAATTTAAAAATAACTAAAAATAAAACTTACAAAAAAAAGAAGGCATGCAAATGGCCAACAGGTACGTGAAAAAGTGCTCGATGTCACTCATCGTCAGGGAAGTGCAAATCACACATACAGTGAGCTACACCTGTGAGAGGAACCAGTCCCAAAAAGACAGGAGAGAGCAAGTGTGGACAAAGATACAGAGAAAAAGGAACCGTCGTGCACCATTGGTGAGGATGTAAATTGGTGCAGTCACTGAGGAAGACAGTGTGGAGGATCCTGAGGAAATAAAAATAGAACCACCAGGGGCGCCTGGGTGGCGCAGTCGGTTAAGCGTCCGACTTCAGCCAGGTCACGATCTCGCGGTCCGTGAGTTCGAGCCCCGCGTCAGGCTCTGGGCTGATGGCTCAGAGCCTGGAGCCTGTTTCCGATTCTGTGTCTCCCTCTCTCTCTGCCCCTCCCCCGTTCGTGCTCTGTCTCTCTCTGTCCCAAAAATAAATAAACGTTGAAAAAAAAAAAAAATAGAACCACCATAGGATCCGGCAGCGCCACTGGGTGTATATCCCAAGGCAATAAAACCATTATCTCGAAGAGCTTTCTGTGCTCCCATATTTGTTACAGCATCGTTCACAATAGCCAAGGTATGGAAATTTCCTGTGCACGTGACTGATACAGTGGCTATTATGTATTCTTCTGCCTTTACAAAGAAGGAAAGCCTATCATTTGCAACAACACGGATGAACTGTGAGGGCGTGATGCTAAGTGCGTGGTATCACTCACGCGTGGAATCTTTTAAAAGAATTGAATTCGCAGAAGCAGAGGCTTGAAAAGGGAGTGGTGTGAAGGGCTTGGGAGCGGAGGAGACAGGGAGAGGTTGGTAAATGGGTACAAACGTTGAGTTATAAGGTGAATTTAAAAGATGAACCGGGTAAAGATCCCTCTTGACTGTTCAGAGGTTCCCACGTTAACAAGATTTGATGTGATGTACACATCTTACCGCTCAGTATCCTCCCGGTTTCACAGAGTTATAATCCGTAACTTTAAACGTGCGTTGGTTTTTTTTTTGGAATAAATAATACGTTCACATGACTTAAAAAGCAAAATGGAACAAGGTATGGAGTGGGACGTCTCACTCCCACTGCTTTCTCAGCCCACTTCCCCCCACCTCCCCACTGCCGTGAGTAGCATTAGTTTCCTTTGCATCCTTGCGTTGTTCTTTTCCAATTTTGTTATTCTCCTCCTTTCTTGCATAACAGTCAGTGAACTACATGCATTGGTCCATATCACTTAATATATTCTGGAGATCAGAGAGTGACCTCAT